AACTCTTTAATTTAACCCTTTTGCCTCCTTGACTCCTTTTTCTGACCTGGACACTTTTTGTTACTTCCCCCTCACTGCCTAGACCCCTCAGGGGAGCGTAACAGGCCCAGGCTACTGAAGGCTTCCCATCAGCTTGTTTCTTCTTCACTCACCTTTTTCCATTAACTGTGTGTTTATACACCACTCTACATTTAATTGATTTTTTTTATTTGATTTTATTGATTAGCATTCAAATATCTCAGTGAAGACAGAACAAAGATCTACCACAAAGCAAGAAAGCATGAGACAAGGCTAATCAAAGGGTATTGGCTGAAGCACTTGCTTATTACGCCAACCCTTTTATCAAAAGATCTTTTTGCATGCAGCTCCTGTACACAGGGCTCGAAGCAAATAATAAAACAAAGCAAAAACAAACAAGAAGAAAAACTTTCCACCTTAGATAAGATGTGTTTTCCTCTAACAGAAACACATCTCTGCTTTATATTTGTCCTTATCTTGTTTTTTTTGTTGTTGTTGTTTTTAAGAAATCTTTTCCCCTTAAATCATATTGACTCTCTCTGACTTTGAACAGCTTCTGAGTACTGGGGCAAAGCAAGTTATTTTGTGCTTTATACATTATCTGTGCCATTTCATATTCAACTAAATCATAAAATTTCAGGGTATTCAGATTAATAAACAAAATGTTAGTTTGTTCTATATAGTTTGATTGGTTTATAATTCTTATAGCTCTTTTTTGTAACTTGAAAATAGGAAGTGTGTTCGTTTTATATGCATTACCTCATATCTCCAGACAGTAACTCATATGTGGAAGCAACAGAGTACAATACAGTGTATAATGATTTTATTTTATTTTTTGTGTTCAGGACATGCTTTGTTTTATAGAGAATAGCAATGGTTTTTGACATTTTTGTTTTCACATGGTTTATATGATACTTCCAACTCAGCTTATCATCAATTATCACTCCAAGAAATTTATTTTCGTACAGTCTTTCAATTTCAATTCCATTAACCCTGATTTTAGTAATCGCTGGTAATCATTGCTTCCACAGCGTGCCTTTTGCTCGGTCTTCCTTCCCTCATCCCAACTGGTTGTGGCAGATTGCTGTTCCACCATGAGCCTGTTTCTGCTGGAGGTTTCTTCCTGTTAAAAGGGAGTTTTTCTTTCCCGATGTAGCAGAGTGCTTGCTCAAAGGGTTGTTGGGGTTTTCTCTCTGTTATTGTAGGGTCTTTACAATATTAAAGCACACTGAATTGACTGTTGTTGTGATTTGTGATCAAATAAAATCTAACTTAAATTTTTACGGGTAGATTGCATCGAATCAATCATAATTACTAAATACTAATCTCAACTAGTAAAATATAATTTTTTTTTAAATCTTAGAAATGAGACAACAGGTGACTTCTTCATAGGGCAAGATATAAGCCCAGATTGCTGTGTTTAATTTTAGATTTGTTTCACGTTTTATCATTATATTTGAAAAACAACTAGGCTGAGTTTTATGTAATTATTCTTCAACTTTCTTTATACTCTTTATACAAGAGTATATTTCTGCGACTCAAATGTTTAGTCCCGCATTTTTAACAAGCCTTATAAATGCACTTAGATCCTAGATCCTGTCTTTCTCGGCTTCCCTCTTTCCTCCATGTGACTGTCTGCTCTTACTACACAAAGCATCGCCCCGGGACGTGAAAAACTCAGTAAACGTGCAAGGTGGCCCGGGGTGGAGTCAGCACTCAGCAGCTTCAGCCTTACTGACTGCGTGAGCTCAGCGTTTTGATTCCCTGCCCTCTAGCTTCACTTCCATCTGAAAAACGTCTTTATCCTTGGAAAAGGCGTCCTTTAGGAATACCCACACATTTGTTTCGTCGATAGCAGCTAGAAGAACGGCAGGTAAGTAGAAACAGGAAGTAGTCTGCGTACAAAGGTTAGCGTATGCTGCGGTGCCGCAGTGGCCCGTTGAGGTGGTATTGGAATATTTTGTGAACTAAGCGAAAGGTTTAATTGCTTCTGATGGAAGCTTGGCTTACATGCACTCTTTTATTAAGATGATATAGCGTAAAAAAGTAGGTCGTTTTGAGGGGAAAACATGGCTGTGTAAAACCCCAAAGTTGATTCTGTTCATCTGGACGTAGCGTCAGTGGGAGAATGGCTGTTTTAACATTTACAGCCGCAAAGGACAGTTTTATAAGTGTAGCGTTAGCTTGCACTACAGCAGCAAAAGAGATGTGTAACGTAAGTTAAAAACCACAGAGAAAAAAAACATACAATATTGCTTTTATTTCATTTGTTTTATTTAATAGATATGGTTAGCTAGGGGGACTTTTCCTTGTGGTCAATGCTACCTAACGTGGCTAATATGCTTTAATGGGCTAATCTTGGTATTATCGCGAAGCTTTAGGTTTTCTGTTTGAAGCTGCGCCGATCTCAACGCAACATGACACTATCGCACAGCTATAACAGCTCATTAATGAAGGATTTATGCTTATCGATCCCAGTTTGCACACATGTATTGTTAAACTACTGTGGTAAGCCGAACGTACAGTGCTGTGTATGTGAATGTCATCCAAAACGGAGCAGGGTTCCCCTTAAAAAGAGTAAAAAGTAAATTTTGAAACATGTTTAGCTTCCCAAAAACAGTGGGCCTCTGTTTTCATCAGTCACAAGTAGGTTGCATGTAGGTCTTAAAATGTCCACAAACAGGTTGCTGTGTACATTATATGCTTTTATGGAAATGCTGGACGAGGCTGTAGCATTTTGGATGGAAATTTCTAAAATGTAGTTTTTGCATGTAAAGATAAATTAGAAGTAGCAACATTTTATAGGTATGACACTAGAAAGTGACACTAGAGTGGTTTACAGCAACAAAAGCAAATGAAGGTTACATATGGGAGATCTTAGAGGGACAGGCCTCACAAATCTTACAGTTTCCTTTCTCAGAACATTTCTCATCATATGTAAAGCTGTCAAATACAGTGATCAAATGTATGTTTAAAACTGGTGGTTGGTGCTTTAAATCAAGTACAAACAAAATGCTTGATCAACCTTCACTAACCTGCAACATATGTAGCACTTTAAAAAATCTGTACACTTATGTGGATGATAAAAAATCCTTTCTGCACCCGTTCCAAGTGATTCACCACTGTAATCTCACACAGCAGACAAGACTGCTGTTAGCTCATGGACATGAGTGTGTCAGACAGGTGGTGCATGTTGGCTTTATTTACCAAGAGGTAGTCTTGTTTGATTTCCTGATGAGTAAAGACACCTCATCCTGAAACAAACCAAAGATGGCATGACACATAGCTGTGGAATTGTGCCCTTTGAAAGTAAACCCACTTAACAGAAGTGCTGTTTCTCCCGTAGTGCTTTTTTCCATTTTAAAAAGAAAGCTTTGAGACACTTAAACAGATGACTGCTCCTCTTGGCTCAGCAGACTAATATCCAACCCCAAAAAGTAAAAGGAGGAGTTGTCAGTTATGTCTTGTTTAAATTTAATTAACAGGAGCACACCAAGAGAGAGACCACCATAACAGATGGCCAACCAACGGAGACCAGACATACTCACTCATTCATGCACAGCCCATGTCTAAATTGACGGTAGTCTGCAGTATGTGGGGGTGGGAAAGCAGATGGGAAAGAAGAGGAGTGCAAGCCTGGGCCTGACTTGCAAGTTTGTAGCGTGAAAAAAAAAAGTGG